AAAGCAGAGGAAAGGGAGCCAGCTCCTAATAGCTCACTGATTTACATGATGAGTTTTTCCCGGGAAAGGGGACAGGAGAAAATACGAGTACACGTACGCAGACACCTTCACACCCTCTCTCTAATACACACAAACACACACATTCAGAGGAATGTAATTTGTTTTCATATTACTAAAACAAAGAATCAGAGGCAGATAAACACACATACTCACGCAAAAAAATCTATACCCAAACACGCTCATAAAGAGAACAAACCCTGCTATAAACAGATGAGTTAGCACTCGCGCGCTGCTTTGCTTGTTTAGCGTGTAACTCAATTTGAAATGCTAATACTGCAACAGGCTCAGGGGCATGCAGCGGCAGGCCAGCATCATCGGCCCGCTTCCTAGCTATTTAACTCCACTCTTTCAGCACAGAACAGTTGTGCTCTGTGGTCCCATAATTCACAGACAGTGAATTACATTGATTGGGCCTTTTTGGGCACACATTGCACGCTGGACCTACTTTGAATTGCAGATAAAGAGGAGAGGAGGTGGCTATAATATACTGCATCATATTTAAGTGCCCGACCATGTTTGTGTCTGGGTTGTTTTCAATTTCTGACTATCTGTGGTGTGTGTGTGTGTGTGTGTGTGTGTGTGTGTGTGTGTGTGCGTGTGCTGTAGAGCTTACATTAATGATAATGAACGCAAGCTCAGTCATTAGAATCCATCATCAGTCGGAGATGTTTTGGGTTTCGAGGGAGGGAGGATAATGACAAGGATGAGGGAGAAGAAACTAATGACTAAATTGATCATGTATGAAAATGTGCACATCACACATAAAAAGAAGCAGGCCGGCTAGACTTTAACACTATTACATGCAGTGATTTATCAGCAGGCATGTATGTGTGAAGGGACTAGTGGTCGCTTCACAGTGGGACTAGTGCTGCAACGGATCATAACACTCACGGTTCGGATTGTATCACAGATCAGAGTCACAGATCGGATCAGCACAAAAGAAAGAAAGAAAAGGGGAGCAAATAGAACTTTTAGAGATCCTCGATCACGTTTTTTTGCCACCGATGCTAATTGACGATCATTGATGATCCATATTATTGTCCTTTTACTTAGTGTTTTCACACCTCAGAAAAACACACAATTCAAATGATAAGGAAATAAAAGATTGTATTTTTATTGATTGAACAAATATTGTCATTAGTAGTTTTAATGATGTAATATAAGCTGCTTAGAGCTAGTATGTAAACAGCTCATAATTCATCTCTAATATCTATTTTATGTTACCAAAACTACATTTTACGAGATTACATGTGAACACATGGCGATAACGTTAAAATTTACTCATTTTCACTGAACAGAGCCTGAACGCATCACAATGTAACCGAACGGAACCTTCGTTCGTTGACCGTTAGCGGTGCTGCTAACGTTAGCTCTCAATTTGTCAATTTGAACACGGACCAGTTGTTTACAATGTAACCTTATCAGAGATCGGTGACTAGAAAAGCATAAATGCAGATGTGCTGATCACATATTTTACAGAATTTTGGCAGATAATGGAACATGAACGTCTGCACCAAAGTTAATGACAATCCATCCAATAGTTGTTGAGATATTTCAGTCTGGATCAAAGTGATGAAACCGATCGACCGGCACAGCCATCAATCTTAGTCGAATAAATACATGCCGAATAAATACATCTTTACATAACTGTTGCTTGTTCACACTCACAGCCGTTAACCCTTTAAAATGTCTCTAAGACCATTATACAGGATTTTCAGATGAAAAGCACATCTGAATCTTTTATGCTAACTAATGCTTTCATTTGTAAGTGCACATGAAGCTCAAGTGTATTAGACGATTTCTATGAAAATTAGGATTAGCCCAGAGGCTGGAACTGGCACTATGAAAGGGAAGTAGACGTGAATACGGAGGAAAGCATGATACACTGCAGTGAAATCAAAACAATAACGCTGGATGTGAGTGGAAATCTGATTCCATGTTAAGTTTCTTCAAGGTGTTGGTAAAAACTTCTGCAAAAATCATAATCGTAATAAAACACATTTTACTAACTACTGCCAATCAGCTCCTCGCACTAAACCCGTTCAGCCAATTAATTACAAGAACTTGGAGGAGGAACGGGTGTTTGGGCCGCAGGAATTTCTATAAAACTGAGCGAAGGAGTTTTGCAGGACCGACGACTCCACATTTATGTTTGTTGGCTTTTGACGATAACAGGTGGAGCTCACAGCAAGAGCTCCAATTAAAATCAAAATCAACCTGCCTGCTTGTAATTGCTTTTCCGCCTCCACATTGAGTGTGTATGTGTGAAGTTGCTGCTTAATTTAAAAGACGTCTACATTTCACAGTCTCGTTTGGTTGTTAGACTTGTTCCCAATATTCACTCTTTTAATCTAGTTTGTTATAATTTCAAGTTATCTTTATGGCTGTGTAAAAAACACAAAGATTAAATCCTGCACTTTGCTCTGCGAGTATGTGTGTGTGTCAGAGGGCAGCGTGTCTTATTTCTCCTGTGGATACCAGAGTACTTTGTGTTGCCGCAGAGATTAGACTGAGCGCCCAGACCCATCAATATCTAGGACTCCTCTATTGCTCACACACACACACACACGCACACACACACACACAGTGATGGAGTGAGCGGAACAGACCTGACACTCTCACTCACCGGTAAATGGCTGCACTGATGGACTGAGGCTATTCAGACGCACACACGCACGCACACACACACACACACACACACACACACGCACTCGGCTGGTGATGGAGTGAGGCCATTCCCTCTCCTCACCTCATGCCCAGTAGCTGGCTGGCGGCCCAGTGTAGACTTGCCAATTGGCTCTTCCACCAAATCAACCACACAAACTTTTCTGATGTGCTCAATACAGTACAGTACAGTACACTCTCTCTCTCTCTCTCTCTCCCTCTCACTCACTCACTCTCACACACACACACACCCCTACTGTAGAGTCCTGGTGGGCACCTTCCCTCCAGTTCACACTTTTCAGGCATTTCAAAAGTTCGCAATTCTTTTAAAAAGTGGAGTCCATTGTCATTTGACCTGCCCCTTGGGCTTACTTAGACACTTAAATACACTCTTTTCTCCACATCTACCACGTTCATTACCCTAATGAAAACTATTACACTGTAGATTAAAATCACATTGTTCCTTTGATTGCTTACATTTTTATGGTCATGTAATGAATATGTGCGGCTTAGGTTATAATCATAAGCACTTTTCTTTTTCCTCCTTGCCTACAGCCCCTCTTTATGATATAACTTTGATTTTTACATCTCACTACAGTTAAATATTACACTGGAATTTAATTTAGTCTTGGACGGATTCTTTTTCCATAGTGGCGTGGCTCTATACCACAATGTCGGTCTGTCTGCCCACCTCTTTGGTTCAGACCCTTATGACCCTTTACCTGCAAAGTTAATGGCATTACCATCAGCCACAGTTGTACTTTGTTCTAATTAGCAAAGTATGAAAATGTAAAAATGTGTACGCTCAGCGCGTTGTTCGTTGCAGTATTTGTAACTCCAGAAGGGCTTACAAACACAATATCCTGTGAGGAAGCTAGAAGTCAATGAGCGATACTTAAAGAATGCCACACATGTAATTGCTCAATTCATGGAAGGAATTGAATTAACTGTAAACTCGCATACCAAATACTCATGGACACGCTTGATCACCGTTATGCAATCCCTGTAGGGACAGGATATCTGAAACAAGACGTGTGACAGTGAAACGAAGGTGGAAAGGGTTAATATCCCGTAAACAATTGGATTCAGCTCACAAAGCATGATCTCAAGTGTAGATTTCTAAGATCTCCTCGTTTAGAGTATTTCAAGACATATTGATCATCTTTCTAAAATTCTGAGACGTATAAATAATAAAAGTGTATTCATTATATTACTTCCTAATTCAAATGATTTGCTTTTATCAGTATCTGTGGCAGTCACGTCTGCAAATCCGCGTGCACACAGCGCTTAACGTACAATATGTGTAGACACTTATTCTTGCCGCAGTTTCTAAATATAAGGCAAATAAATTCTGAGTTTAAAGCTCAGGTGATCTTTACCACACTGTTCCCAAACATCAAGACCAAACACTGCTCAAAGTAGTTCCTCAGGTCTTTAGGCATTCGAGCAACAGTTTAAACCTGCTGAACAGGCGGCGTCAAGTCTGATGTGTTGCATGCACACAGTCGCCACAATCTTTTCTTTCACACTGCAAATAACTCATATCATCAGATAATCTGAATACTTTTATTACTTTTGAGAAGTACAAAGACACGTAAACACACTGAATGATCCCATCACATCAGGTCAATAAATGTATCAAATGATAAAGTGTGTGTGTGTAGTTTAATGATTATAATCAGACATTTCTAACTTCACATTAACACCAGAACAGCCCATCGGTATTTGGGGCCTGAAAATATATCTCACGAAAGTAGAAAGCCAGAAAATAAACACCTCGATGTCAAATGTATGTACCAGCCTGAAGCTACTCCGTTGGCAATGAACGGGTGGCCTGACTTTGAGAACTCCAGCGAGGACTGCCAACTTTTACTGACTTTTATATTACAGCAGCGCAACCACTTTCAAGCCATAAGGCACTCTCTAGCTCCCCCCGAAAAAAAAGAATGTTGAACGCAATCTCTTTCTGTTCTCTGAGCAGCAGAGTACAAAACATAGAATAGGGAGCATCACAAATGACATTTCACTCTTATGTGGTTGTGAAAGGCAGCCGTGACTACTCACTGTTACACACCACACTGTCCTGAGGCATCGAAATAAAATGGGGGAAAAAGCTGCAAAATTGCAGTTTTTCTGACTCAAGTTCTTTTGAAAACATGGTAGACAATGGCTTATAGTTCTCTTTAGTACAACTGAAAATGGTATCAAGAAAAACGTAAAAGATAAAATGTTTCGGTTGTTCCTCCGGGATCCCACTCAAAATCATGGATCTTCAATACCTCCAGGACAATTCAAAAGCAATGTTCATCTTTACCAGACCAGTGAAACAGAGCAGTGAAAACGAGGCTGAAGTTGTACAACAACGACACTTTAGACGGACTCAACCCTTGACCTGGATAAATGTTTGTTTCTCTCCACTCCTGCATCACTCCCAAAATCCTCACCCTGGTCTTTTATCCCGACCTCTCCACCCTCTGCAGAGGTGTCGGGTCCTGGGTCAGGGAGTGTCTCACTGGGAGCTGGAGGTGACCTCTTCCCTCCCTGCCCTCCCTGGTCTCGCTGGTTCCGCTCTGGTTCCCACTGTGGGTGCAGATGTCCGGGTCTCTCCAAGCACCACTGCTCCTCCTACGGATGATTGACAGCAGTGAAGACAGCTGAACAGCAAGCACATTTTGGTTTCAGGGCAGGGTGACCTTGCGACCGCAAGAGTGCCACTCTGAATCCACGGATTAGCTGGGGTCATGTGGATTTAAGGACTTAAACATGCAGCCCAGTCTGCCAAAGGAACTCTCATCAAACTGCAGTGGGAAGCCTTTTAATGCGAGTCACTGTCTCTGTGTGTTCTCCCTGCTCCAAAACATATTCATAATTAACAGTGTGTCCTTTGATAACTCGATCTGCTGAATATGGATGTGGTCTTCATTCACCTCTGATAAAAGTTACACAGACATGAATCTAACAGCACTATCTTAAGAACAACACTAAAAGTCAACACAAACTCGAGTTAAACAAGCTACTTTCTAGCAAGCTACCAGCTCAGTTTATGTCGCAGCACGAGATTAATAACATGCTTATTCCTTTGTATTGCAAAAAGTTTACATATGCAGGTGGACATGAATGTTTGATTTAATCCATGCATGTTCTTCTTTAAATTGTGGTGTATTTGTGCGATTGTCTGTGTGTGTTTGTGCGTGTGCGTTTGTGTGCATGTGTGTGTGTGTGTGTGTGTGTGTGTGTGAGCCTGAGGCAAACTGAAATGAAGCAACGGCAAGCAGACACCGCCCTGGGCTAACTTAACATGGGCCTCCTTTAACACACGCGCACACGCACGCACGCACGCACACACACCTAACCGTGGCTTGATGCTGGGTTTCACATCTATTTCGTCAACTGGATGCTACCACCCACCAGCAGGCTGCAGAGTGGGAGGTAAAGTCTTTATCAGAGCCAGCCTGCGCCGCTGTACGTTTGAACTGGGAGGATCTGAGGCGGCTACCTTGACAGGGTGGTGCTGAGCAATATCTCTGCCATCCAAAACTATTTTATTTGCACACATGCAGGTTAAGGTATGCGTTTCGAGCTGCTGCTGCAGTGCACTGAAATGACCTGCGTGCGTGTCCGCGTACCTGTCCGAACAGGCCGACAATTTCTCCGGGCAGGTAGCTGAGGACCACGCTGCGGTCGGACGATGCTGAGAGAACGAGGAGTCTGTCGCCATGGGGACACATCTCCAGGTGAGTCACGCGATCAAGGTGTGGGCGGAAACTACGCAGCAGTTCTGGAGGTTCTTTGGTTATTCTGTCATCTGGCTCAAGACAATACTGCTGCAGGGACAGAGGAGCGGAGCAGTGGGTTACTGAAGCTGTGTTGTGGCTGGAAGTACAAAAACATGCAATCAATTCATATAACTGTAAGGCCGCTAAACTCTAACCCCCTCAGGTACTGTTGCTGTGCCTGTCAAGCTTTCCCTTTTCTCACGGCCCATAGCAGAATGTAATGCATTATGATTTTTGAAACAATGGGTGCTTGATTACAGATAGAAGTTGCCAAAAGCAGCTGAATTTTAAAAAAAAGTCCCTGGGAGATTTTATTTGGTGTAACTAGCTAGCGTCTTCAGTATTCTAGTTTGGACAGTCTGTTGAGAGGAGGGTTTGAGTGAAAAAGGTGAAAAATTGAAACGTGACCTTTGGTTACATCTTTGCATGATGGGTAATATGAAAAACAACAGTGTTCAGCAACACGTTAGGACGTTCAACCTGGTACTGAACTGTGAAGTCCTGCGTCTGTTAGTCATCCAGCCGACTGCGCAGCATGCTCCAAACTTGCCAAGGGACAGGATTTCTACCAGAGCACTGAGCTTGTCCAACTTCTTCAACTCTGCTACATATATACATACATCTCCATAAATTAAAGTGGAAGCCAAATGAGACGCGCCCATCTGAATTCATCCCCTCTTATAAACTGTGACAGAGATTTGAGCTCTGAATATTGTGGCAATAATACCCGAGAGGGTGTTCTTTTACTGCGATTATGAGCATGACAGTGATGCAGCTACGCCTTATACCGCTGACGCAATCCAAGTCTCCATAATCAAGAGTCAAAAAGTCAAAGGGCCTCTCTGAGGTATCAGAAACTCTTCAGCTACCAAACATGTGTTAAGCATGTAAAGTGTGAGCTGAAGTGAATTTCTAATCATGGCTGGAATTACATATTTTTGTTTCTAGTGGAGGGAATTTGCCAGAAAGTGTCTTTTTTTTACACACATTTAAAGTCTATTAAAAGGAGGATACAAATTGCAAACAACACTCCTCCCATTCATTCAAACTGCTTCTCAAGTTTCAAACAGAATACCAAAGAGGATGAGGACATTAGCTCCTTCTGCCGTATCAGTGGAATGATTGACTGTTCTGCTTGTACTCTAGCAAGCTACTGAGGCTTCAGAATGACAGACGGTGCTGTCATTCTGAAGAGTGAACAACATGCCTGATCTAACAGAAATCTGGAGGTTAACTCTTTCTTCATTGTCTATGACAGTCTGTCTCTCGATCTCTGACCCTCCCTCTGGCTCTGTGTTCACCAGCCTCCATCTCTCTCTCTCTGGCTTGTTTTTCAGTATGTACGAAGACCTCATGGTGGCATGTGTCAGTGTGGTCCATGCAGCTGATTTATAATATATATTATACATACGTGTGTGACACACACCTACCTGTATGTCCCAAGTCTTGAGGGTTCCCTCCCCATCAGCTGTGACTAAATACTTTCCACAGAGGCTGACAGTCATAACGATGGACCCCAAGTCCCTGTTGTGAGCGGTGAACTGTCCCACCAGACGGCTGTGGACAGTGTTCCAGAGTCGGACCACACCTGAACCTCCACAGGACACCAAGTCTGCGCCACCTGCTGGAAATGTGGGAATAAAAAGTAGGTTTCAGATGGAAAATAAGTTGGATCCAGGACGATAGAAGCTCATAGACATTCTGTTCTATTGACAACGGCTCTGTACTGCTACGCGAGGGCTCAACAACACCAACCGTAGCCGCAGTCAGCATGAGCAGCAGGCATAAAGACCAAGGGCCAGAGGCTAATTGTGTTTGTTTGTTTTTTACCCAGCAGCTAAACAGCTTCAGCTAGCAGAAGCAGCAGCAACAACAGGAAGCATGTGGCGAATAAATCTGGAATAAAAACCCAAGCAAGTAGATAAAGTTAAAGTTCAGAGCTTGAGTTACTGCATATGAAAAGAAGTTAAAAATGTGAAAACTTGAATTAAAACTCGCCACATCGATCATTGATGAGTAGCTAATGTGCAGTAAATTTGGCACAACATACCCGAAGCCTTACTGTCTTTGTGATGTGGAAACACCAGCGTGCATCCGTGTATTGCAACAAAAACAAGACCGTATATGCAGAGTATAAGAAAGGCTCTCACATAACAACTCAAACTTTTATATATATATATATATATATATTTAAAGAGGCTTTGGCCTGGAAACATTTTTAGTGCACAATAACATGTTCATTTGAGCAACAATGTGACTCAAGTGAAGATAAAGAATTTATTTGGGTATAAAAGGAATTCACTGCTTTTATTTTGAGATAGCTCCCGAGGCAATTTCCTAACATTGTTACTCAAACATTACACCATGTCCCATATCTTACAGAACCCATTTCAACAAATTACCCACACTAAGGACGATAAAGATATTTTACCTGTCGCTATAGCTGCAGACGTGCGTCCCGGTATGAATAACAATCTAGTGATTGCAATGGAGTTATCTGCATCTTCTTTGCCATTCACACCGAGATGAGAGTCGGGGACATGACCTAGAACATCAGAGTTGAGCAAAGTATTGAAAGAATAATGGGAAAAATAACAGATCACAGGCAGAAGACATATTTACTCTACGATTGCAAAACAAAGTGTTTGTCGAATTTACTGGCATCTGTGTGTGAAAGTGAGACTTCTTGCCTTCTCCGAGTTCAGCAAGTGGTCTCAGTCTCCTCAAAGCTTTTTCTGTGCCGTTGTTCCACACTATAATCTCTCCATCGTAGCTTCCTGCACACATAAGAGACGAAACAAAGTGCTTATGATAAACTCGCACATTGCTTTTTGGCATTTTTGCATCCCCAAAACGTTGCAAAAACTGCCAGGCTTTCATGTGAAACAGAAAGAAAATTGCGCATTTTCAAAACAATACAAATAATTAACACAACACTCTGTCATCACACGCCCTTTTACTTTCCTCGTGCTGCTGAATCACGCAAGCCAGCCGCTAAAAACACTTTAAAGATGATGAAGCCCAACATCCATCCCCAGGTACCATCTGTTCCACCACTCAACATTCACCTCAAGAGAAAGTGCTTTTCAAATAATCTAAATTATACAAGTATTAGAAAGGGCTGCGTGGGTTTATTATATGAGGCAGGAATCTCATCAGGTGGTTCGACAGTTGAACAGCGGGAGTTAATGAGATATGTGAGGAGCGTGCTAGATACGGGAGGTGTGTACGTGTGAGCAATAGGAGGGATAAAGTTTACGAGAGCGTGGGTCGCCTGCATTATTCACGCAGCCCAGGGCCGGCATCTGTATTTCAAGGGACTTTTATCAGGCTGTGTGTGTGTGTGTGTGTGTGTGTGTGTGTGTGTGTGACAGAGATAGAGTGAGAAAGGGGGTGAGAAGGTATAGATATCAGCATCATACACATTATTAAGCTTTAACATAGAGCTGGATTAACATCACCCTTATTAACTTTCAAAGTGGTCCAGCACATAGGCCTGTAAGCACCGGGATGTTCATTCACGGGCAATGAAAAAAAGAAGAGAAAGTATACGTTAAAGAGCACACAAACCTCCGTTTCTTTAAAAGAGAATTCTTTTAGCATCCTTGTCCAAAAAGGATCAAAATTGATGCAGCAGAAAATCATCTTTTTATTCCGTGCATTCTTTGTCCTTGTCAAAACCTGCCGCCTACATTACCCACAATGCAGCTTGAATGCCAAGTTCATTAGGAGATTGTTATGCCAGTGGTGGCTACTGTAGCCGCTTGCCTGAAGCAGAGATAAGAAGCAGGCTACAGAGTTCTGTTAAACTCATAACTACACATCACAGGTTTATTCATTTTCAAACTTCTTCAGACCGAACCGACTCGAGTGACATCACTTGAGGACGTTTATCAGACTTCACGCAGCTCCCTCTGGGGCCTCAAAAAGCTTAATACAACATCCCCTTTATCTCACTAACTTGTCAAGACAGAAATTTGAAATATACGGTACATATAAATCATAGCGATCCTCCGTTTGAAAAATATGTCATTGCCGTCATTCAGTGTTCTGATTTCTGCACTCACATTTCCACTTCTAAAACATTTTTGGCTGTCCGTCAAAGTTCAGAAGAGTTGGTCCTCGGTCGCTTGGAAGGTGTTCAGCCATGGAGGATTAAGGGATCCGAGGGAAGAAGCAAGAGTGAAGAGGGGGGAGGTTGTGACTGAGGGAGGTACACAGGACCCCTGTGTACATGTACCCTGCTGTGTGTGTGTGCGTGTGTGTGTGTGTTTGTGTGCGCGTGTGTTTGAGAGAGAAGCCAAGCGGAACCTAGCGAAGCCTCTGAATATGGATGAGGAGGCTTCAGTCCCACATCAGCCAAATGCTCCTGCTGCAACTTGATTCAACTTAAGACACAAACAAACAGATGCCTGTACACGCACAAACACACACACACACACACACACACACACACACACACTTGAGCCTGAGCATCCAAAGCATGCTTGTGTCCAACAAAACTTTAAATTGACTTTTGTCACTGGCGGCCTTGATGCCACCATTGCTTTCACTTGGCACATCGCGAACATATAATTTGGCAGCACACATGCTTTGATGTGAGAACTGCATTAGTCACTGCAACCCTGAAGAAATGTGCTGGCAAGTGAAACTAATGCGTCATCGCTTTTAGACGCCGTCTTTGTGCTCGACGGATTTGGTGAAGAAAGAATTACTGGAGACGGTTAAAGTAGAATATAACACAGGGGTAGTTTCACATCTACCTTTCACTTTAGTGTGAGAGTACACGAGTGTGTGGAAACACGACATCTAAACATAGGAGGAATTTATGAATGATTTACATCATTTTATGATTGTTTTTGGACAAGAGATTAGTTGATCTGGATAAACTTGTGCCTCTTACAGCAGAACACAATTACAAAACCTGCCTACAAAGTCTTCATGAATAAGACACCGGTTTAATCTTCTGTCTCACTTTAGGAAACAATCTATCAGCCAGAGTGAGTTCTGCTCGTAATAAAAAAACACTATTTCTGACGTTATCATCTGTATTAATCAGAGTTACAGAAATAAATCGCAGATAGGTACATTCAAAATATTCAATCACAGCTTCTGTTTTGTCAAGTTCTTGCATCAACTATTAACAAAAGGATTCAGCGATTCGGCTTAAGCCTGAAAATGCAACCACACTGTCACATTTCAGAGTCATACGCAAATAAACAACTTCAAACATACATAATTTTATACCGTCTCTCTAGCATACACAAACCCCCACCTCTGCAGCTTCACAACACACACACACTTGAAAGACTGACAGTACTGTGTCTCATTTCTCCTCATTCCCACAGAGAGCTCTAATAAACATAATTTAAATTGGGCATTTGGATTAAATTGGAGGTGGAGGGTACAGCGCGGGGCTGTGTGTGTGTGTGCCTGTGTGTGTGCGCGTGTGTTCGGGTGGACAAATGCAGCAGGCAAACTAGGGAGATGAGGTGAAAAAATAAACAGAAATGAACAGGGAGTGTCGGTTAGAGACTGGGATGAAGAGAGGAAGCAGGCAGAGAGAGGCGCCGCACACCGACAAAGAAATTGGGGAGTGAACTTGGAAAACTTTTTCAGAGTTCACTCCCCAATTTCTTTGTCAAAGTAGCTCCTGAACTGTGGTTCCGTTCCGGCTCCTATTCGTACCCTTCCAAACCATTTCTGCCTGCACTCTTATCTACCTTTCCACCTCCATCCCTCCCCGTATCGCTCTCTATCTCTGGGGTTGACGTGTCCCACAGGCCCAGAGAAGGTCTGCAGTTTATGTCCGCGCTCTACTCGCACAGACTGGTAAACTGAAACTGTAATGTCGGTACGTGAGGCAAAGTGATACAACTTCATATACTGAAGAGCATACTGGGGCAAATTAGGAGCAGAGTGTTTGTAGTTTGACGGTTATAGAAGTGGACCAGTGAATGGAGCATTGCCAGTTCAATCCTTCAGACAGAAACGTCTAAGAAAGTGTGGAGTGCTGAGGCGCCGTGCTGGTTTTTTAAAGTATCCTGTCTCTGCGACCGGGTCAGTGTTTATGTCTTTTTATGTAACGTGCAAGTTTGTTTTTTGTTTTCTTCGGTTAATGGAGGTTGTCAGTCTCGAGTGTGACAGCTTGGCAAACGGGACGAAGTGCCACAGGGTTGAATTCCACGATCCACAAAACGTACAAAAAATAAAATACATATATAAAACTCATGCGCACAAACATTGGAGACAAATTCCAAAGTTTGTATGAACTCACAGAAGTAGAGTAATAAATGGAGTGATTGGGAAAAAGAGCCAGAGGGGCCAAGTGTTTCTGCATTTGAATAAGCACTGGCGTGATTTTAGGTCTACCACTGATTTCACGTGCGAGTCATTTACATTTGGTACCACTGAACCATTGCACTCATCAGTTGCCAAATCAGTTTGATGGTAATTCTGGATAATTTTCTGCTATGTATGATTTTATCTTCTTTTCCCCCCCCCCCCCCCCGACAAGGAATACCTTCAGTGAAGTAGTAGGTTTGCTGATCAATCCTACTACAAACAAAGAAAACAATACCAGACATCTCTCCCGCACAGAGAGAAACGAATAAATAAGTGAAATGAGAAGCATTTATAACTTTTTATTGGAAATATATCTTGATCTCTCTCTCATTAGACAGGTGTTAGCACTGAGTGAGTACGTGTTTTTTTTTTTTTTTAAATCATATATACCGCCTGATCTTTCCACTTCACCTGCCTTTAATACAGCTCTAATTAAAAACGTAATTAAGACGGAACTTGCCAATTAATGGGGGTCTGACATGTAAAGGTTTTGGCCTGTGGTGAAGGCAAATGTCAGCTCAGAATAGAGGAAAAGGAAGATTTTGCTCCCCTGAGGAATAAAATATTGATCTATGAAATGAAATACTGTATCTTTCAGCAGTGTGGCTAACAAAGGACAACAGGGCAGAACTCTGACTTAAAAGGGGCAGGCAGATCTATAAAAAAAAAAAACAGACAAGAAGTCTCTGGAACATTTTCAAATCATTCATACCTGTTACATCATCTAATTTGATTGTAGCTATATGATAATTCTTTTGTCATTTAACCACACATGCTGAAGTGTTCCATTTTGATTTGTAGTGAGCATTTATATGTTCAGGCAAACATACAAGCACAGTCGTACTTTTGATTTTGAATTCCCTTTCTGCATACGCACAGAGACACATAAAAACACAGAGCTATTTCCAGCGGAGTGTGACGTGTGGAGCACGAGTCCTTTGAAAACAACACCACTTATTTTAATCAGCAGATAACTGCTCCCAGTTATTTTTCAGGTTTTTGCTTTTCGAAGATTCATATCAGTTTCCAAGCATTTGTTTTTGTCCCCTGACTCTTTCCATCTTACTCTTTCCTCTACACAGACACTCACTCATAATTCCAGTCATGAAAGTGTGTTTATTTTCTTTAGGAAAGAGAACACAGACAATTACAGGAGCACACATGGACACTCAATATCAAACCTGTTCATCATACACATACACACACACACACACACACACACACACACACACACACACACACCTGTGACCAGAGTCTGCGGCGGCTGGAATGCGGCACAGAGCACATCACTGCGATGCTGAACACCTCCTTTCCACTCCGACGGTTCAACAAAAGACTGCGAGAAGGAGTGCAGACGGAACACTGTTAACATCCTACAGAGACACAGAGAGAAGGCGGTGGTGAGAAGTGTGGAAGGTGTAAAGGTGCGTTACATATACAAACCTCATAGACCTCCTTTGCAATATCTGTTGATGCACAACCCGGTTCATAAACACCCACAGTGTTATCTAAAGGATTTTCAGTGTGATGGTTGTATAGTTAGATGATTCAACAGATGAGGTCCTTTGAATTAGGTCGCCGCCCTGAGCCTGTTAGTTATTTGAGCCAGAGACTTCAGAAAGAGACTTCTCCTTGCACACAATAACAAACAGACGGATGGGATCAAGCGAAAGGTAAAGAAAACTGTTTCTCCGTCGGGTTCTTCCCATAATGCTGTTGCACACTTATAACAATCTGAGCCTCACAGTGGCGAAAACAAGCACTTCCAGCGAACGTAACGCTCACTTGCCCCCGCAGCTCGTTTCGTGGTTGCCGGTTACAGCGACATCCCTTAATACTGGACCAATTTCAAAAATTGCTTTCCCCATTGGTCTTTTAGACACAGAAACATGAGTAGAAGAACATAAGTTGAAATATTCCGAAGTTACACTTTAATACATTTTATTTTGTCATGCTTCATTGGGACCATTTGTAAGGATAATCCGATATAAATCCTATTTTCCCTGCAACAGATTCAAACTTTGCTTTACACATGCTATGCATCAGGGCAGTGTTTGTTATGGAAATGGAAGCTGTGCCTTTACACACTGCTACAGCAGACACCATGCATAAGAAACTGCTGTATTTTTTAGTACACCTGTAATTTTGTTATATGTCATGCGGGCACTTTTATTGATTTATATTGTTGTAAGTGACATGAAAACAAATGATGCAGTCGTTTCAAACTGAGGAATGTGTATCGGTGGGATTTGGATATTTCAACCTGCATGAGATCGTATGAGCAGCAGACGGCAAGCAGACTTTGAATTAGATGCCATGCATCACAGAACTATTAAACTGTGGTCTAGGCGGCTGTGAAGAAACAGGAAGTTAACTGCAGTATTTTATTTTACTGCTGCTGATCTGTTGTCTATGCTCTCTTTACCGCTGTGACACACACCCCTGAGAGCAAGACGGTGTGTGTGTGTGTGTGTGTGCGGAGAAGAAAGAGAAACACAGAGAGAAAGAGGGAGTCGTATAACTTGATGATAGCTCACTGACGAGTTCAGCTCACTGGGTGTGAAATGATGATGATGAAGATGAAGAGCAGATGTGATGCGGGTATAAAAAGAAACACACGCACACACACAAGGTGGGCCAGCGATACTCGTTAGAGTCCAGATGTCTGGTTGGCTCCGAGTCGTTGGCAGACAGAGGATGCAGGAGAGGACAGAAACACACACACACACACACACACACACACACAGTCTGCAATGTTACCGCATCAAAACTCATGAGACTCCCCTCCGGGGCCTAAATTTGCGCACAGTTTTAGTTTTCCAGTATTGCACAGTCTGTGTATTCAACCTTTCAACGAGCGAAGCACAATGCGCATACTGTAAGTAAGCAAACCACAATAGTCCCACTTGAATACACACACCTTTCCCAGCCCATCACCAGTATACGCCTCTTCAGCAGCAGGACCTGTGAGATCTCCACAGCCCGACCCAGGCCGGCGTTCATTCTGTGGAGGCAGCGGCCACTGAAGTCCCACACCTGCAGCACAAAACACACTCAAAGCCCCAGAACAACACTAAACGTGCTTCATTTCGAAGCACACTTAAATGCAAACAGAGAACCCGAGTCAACATGTCACCTTCATTTAACAGGACGTTTTGACACGAGACAAAACTGTACATATTACACCCCTTTGTAGCACCTAACATTGTCAATGTTTTCTTGTCTGGTAAAGAAAGAAGGAGCAGAAATAGTAACAGAAAGTGAAGTCAAGATGTTGTTAAAGGAGAATTATTATTTGGCTGCCCCACGGGAGGATACAAACTATCAAGGCACCGTCGTATTGTTTGTACTTCCATCAAACATGACAGCTCAGGTAACAGTTCACACAGTTTGTCCAATTTTGCACGGTGACGCAGTTTGGATCTGTGTTGTGGCATTTTAACAAGAGACACTGATTGGCCCAATGGGAACGCTGTAATTAAAAGGTCAAAATTTAAAATTCGGAATGGCCCTAACTGCTACTCCACGGGTTTCAGTGTTGATGAAAATTGGAGAGATGATGCATCTTGTTGCTAATTGGCCCAAGGGGTGCCTGCCTCTTCTGCTGAGGATGGCTTTGTGTCGCTGTTTCACTTGGCACTGTGAGTGTATACCTGACGCTGCTTGCACATGCACAGGATGCACATAGCTGCATCCTCACCACGGCTCATGGGGTCAGGGAGCTGATGTGGTTGATTATATTGATTATAATGTGCATAATTATTTTACTAATCTGTTGAGAACAACTGCACTTAGCTTGGAGTTATTATGCAGTGCTTGAATGTGGAGTGCAAATACGGCCACAGAGCACCACTTGTTTGAAATGCATAATAATAGACACACATGCAAGTGTGTGCACACGCTTGCATGTGCACACACGTAATTAGAGAGGGTACGGACACATCGGGCTCGAACTTTTTTCTAAATCGCAAAAATGTGAACAAATACTCATTATGCATGGTGTCAACATCACGTCACTCATTTCCCACTGACTCGTATCACTTCCTAATGGGAGGTGGTGAGCCACTCTTCTGGCTTTACAGTTGCCGAAATAAGACTGACACACAAGTACAGTCCTCTGATACATATGTAAATTTGATGCAAATATTCAGATTTTACAATACGCACTACCGTAAATGTTGTGTTTGTTTAAAGATAGAAATAAAAGATTAGTGGCTGGTAAGTGGTAAATATTGTGAATGGAAATTAGTTTCCAAAGGTCCACAGTGCCCCCTCTTGGCAGATGTAGGAGCTTGCCCTCAGTGCAGAGTCATGTCAACGTTGGAATTTATTGTAAAAACTACATCTGGCGTGATCAATACAAACATGCAACACAAACATTGTCATCACAGGCGATATGAAGGTTGCCGACAGTGGAAAAAGTTCCTCGCCATCATATGGCAATCATAACAGTAGTGGCATGCCGGTGGAAAAAACACAGACTGGTGCCTTAATCTTTGCATTCTTTCAAATGGCCAGCAGGGGGCAACTCCTCTGGCTAGCTACAGCCATGTTAGCTAAAGCTAGCGTCAGTATTAGCTTTGGCTACATCACCAAGGATATATTTTACAACCAGTGTTAGTAAAACTACTGTACATAAGCTAACAAAAGACACAAGAGTATCCCAACATATTTATTCTGGGGGATTTTGTAAAACGAATCACCAGAATGATGTTATATTGACGATCGCCGACAGGATAAAGCGCCATAGGATGCCCTACATGCTAGAAAACCTTCTGTACGCTGGTGCCCGACCACATGCAGTTGGCGCTCTTTATATTCATTTTTTGGTACCTGCCCCTCAGACAGCCTGAGTCTGGTTCTATGAGTATTTAAAAATGTGAAATTCTTGTGATTTCTAACAGTCAGCTACTTCACCTTCCTCTTCACATCAGACTCTATTCCCTGCCACATTTACCTTTCAGAGTTTGCATTCTTTATAAGGAGGATTGACCTGCAGCTATATGGTTCACAGCTGTGTGTGTTTGTCCACCTACTTTGACCTCTCCGTCCAGGCCCGCAGTGAACAGCCTTGTCTGCGTAGCATCCAGGGCCATGGTGGAGATCTCCTTGTTGCCGTGGCAACGGTGAAACTGCTTGACCTTTTGTCCCGTTTGAGCCAGCCAGCAGATCACAGAGGAGGCCGAGTCGCTGCTGACTACCTGCAGAGAGCGGGAGAGAGAGAGAGCGAGAGGATATCAATCATCAGAAAGAGTTTGATCCTTTCTTATGCTGTTCCGCTGATGTATTCTTTGATGACTCTCACGAAGCCAAACAATTCGCCACGCTTCGTTAGACTTTATTTTAGTGCTAAGCCACCACTGAGGAAAACATGTGACTAATGCTGCTGTCAAGTGGGAATAAAAGCAAGAGTGACTGCACTCTTTAAAATGAGAGACGTTCATATTGGATATATTAGCTGCTTCTTCTTTATTTGTGTGGGGAAACTAATGTCAGCTGTTAGGCTGTCATGGAGAGGGGTAAAAGGAAAAAAAACATACAATCATTTGTAATAATGGTAGAAAGCATTGTTTCTCTGCTCATCCTCTAACCAAATGTTATCAAAACATGCTAAATGAAGAGAATATGATATGATCAAAAGTTCCAGAACATCCACTAAATGGACAATGAGTTGAGAACATCCAATTTAGAACATCTATACAGCCTTCCTTCTGCTTGCCATATGTCTCTGGATAAAGATCACCAGAAACAGAGGGAAACAAAGAGATCTAAATCAAAGAAGTAAAGTCTCAGGGGTCCATTTCAAACTGCACACCTGTCTGAACAGACTATTATACAGCACACAGGTCACAGGCTGCTCGTGGCTGCTGGTCCTCTTCTCTTCCTCCGTGGTCTCCAGCAGGAGAAGCAGGCTGTTGAAGGAAAGCACGAGGACCTGACGCTCCTCGTGGACAAACAGGAGTGTCTGTGTGTCCTCCTGCGTCTCTGGGAAGACACCGGCCAGGCGGTGAACACACAGCTGACGAGATACATCCCATAGACACAGGACCTGGAAAGAGTATACGAACAGATGAGCTGTAGTGGTAGACGCTATATGAATCGCCACATGCACAGAAGAACGTCATAACTCCTACTATAAATAAAACGGTTATTAGCACAAGACATTATCATAATTACAGAACAAATACACTAATTGCGAAGAAATATGATTACTCGATCAGCCTGTTCACAATGTGACACTTAGTCAGAAATCACAATGACTCTGCCATATTGCTTTTACAGCACAAAACAAGAGGACTGTCGCTTTTCCAGGAGCTCGTCCAGAGGTAAAGCTTCTTGCGATGGCAGATGGTGTTTGAGCAAAAAGGCAGATGGAACATAAATCAGTTCTAAAATATTCATTATCTCCAGAAAAGCCAAAGAGGAGGCAAACATGCACAGTGCTACAAGGGGGGAGAGGAAGTGCAGCACAAGCACCAACATCCTCTTTGCATCAGAGAGAAGAAGAGCGTAAAGGAGATGTGGTCTTCCTTTTTAGAGATGTCAGCGCTGTGAAACAGGCTACCAATCATCTGCACCACAGCCTCCTTCTTCTGCAGTAATTATAGCAAGGTATCACAATTAATACACCAATGATGGGGCTCTTTATCACCACATTATCTTCTTCTAGCAGAGCGCTGCACACAGAGACACACACTCCTACCTTATCTCTGGAGTAGCTGAGCAACTGTTGCTGGGTCTGCATGAAGCAAACTGCGGTGACGGGGCCGGTGTGCCCGATGAGCCGACAAACCGGCTTTGAGGTCACATACGGGTTCCACAGCAAGACCTGATGATCCACACCTGCTGTGGCTACAGCCAATCAGAAGGTCTCAAATTAGCAGAGGCGCTAACTGCAATTAATTACAGGAAACCATACTGAAGTTGAGAATGAAATCTTATACTATTAATAATGCTCTCACAACATAGACACGTGTTATAATTCTGAGTACGCTTTGGTTCCCACCTATCAGATTGAGTCCACGGTGGTGGTCCATGTCCCACACACCCCTCTTTGTAAAGAAAGAAGCGACTCGTAGACTCCTGCTTTCCTTTTCCCTCCAGCCGATCACCATGCTGCTCTGCGCTCTGGTGCTACAGGACACGAAGGCGTCCAGCGAGTCCAGGTAACGCACTGCGGGAGAAGTGGAAGCAAATTATGACAGAAAAGGCAACTAAATCAATTCGTGTCTTTTTTTTTGTGGTTGCCGTATTCTGGTCGTCAATGTAATTGGAAATCTATTGTTAACTGGTTAACTTGTTTTTTGCGATGTGTCTTAGAGAAATGTCCACATCCCCCGACTATAGGGGAGTGTGTGCGCGTGCAAGAGAGTCTCGATATGACACAGGACAATAGAGTTAATTCATTCAAATGTTTATCTGCACAGATTTGATCTTAACTTTCTCTGTACAAACTCACTTTCAGAGAAGAAATAAAATGAAGACCACTGGCTTCCAAGCAGCCCCCCTCTGTGCGGAGCGATAATGCAGCAGAGGGAATAAATTAGTTCTCCAGCTAATTCATGGTAAAAAATATTTTGGTGATGACACACTGTTCATTAGTTGCTTCATCCTTCTGATGTCAAAATCTGAAGGACAGCCACTCACTGAAATGGCTGCGCTAAATGTGCATTGACCGCAACCCCGCTGTATAGTAAAGCAATCCACAGGCGCTCAGCTCAGCATAGAATTAGGCCGGTTTGATTTGCTCACTGGTATTACAGAAAATGTAATGGATATTGCATCACCATCTGTCTCAATTAACACTTTGATTGAGAACGGCTAAAGTGGATGCCGCGCGTCTCCATTAGAGGCATCTTGGCTTTCACATACTGCACAAACAAGTGCGGGGTTGAAGAGATGGCATGTGACAGTCGCAGGTCAGAGATCGGCCGCATTGCTAGGGCAAATAATTACGTCTGATTACGTTTCATACACAGCGTCTTTTTCTCCATTAAAAGATCAGTGGATTTTCAGACAGCGTTGCATGACTCATCATTGATTAATGAGGCCATCTCTCTCACTGACACAGACGGATCATAAATCAAGCTATTTGTGATGCACACATACACATACATAACATCTGCTTGAGTCAGTGTTGCACTTTCATTGCTGGGAGTTTAGAATTGAAGGAGGAACGGCAGGAGTCACTGTATATCCCTTTGTGTTCTGCAACAAATCACATTTTGGGACGTTTATCCTAAAAGTCCTTTTTTAATTGCTTTGATCACAACATCATGTGGATGTGTGAATGCTTTTCTCCTTCGCGGACACAAACTTCCTACAGCTCTCCTTCCTTGTCCTTGCTTATCTGTGTCCATCCCAATTTCCTTCTAATTCCCTCTCACTTTTCCCCTCTCTGTTCCAACAGCTTCCCTTACCCCACTCCTCCTCTCCTCTCCTCTCCTCTCCCCTTCCTCTCTCTGGTGGCCCGTGAGCCCGAAGGTTTGGAGGTCTGGATAACCAGCCATGTCTAATATTACACAGCCCACTCATACTGCAGGGTGGGCAACTTCAAAGGAAAGGAACCATCACCCCAGAGGTCCTTTCTAACACTCTTAAAACGCCACACACTTATACACACACACACACACAGACACACACAGCAAACGTTAGTATGCATCCCCTCTTGTTGATTCGCACGCATGAGCACACGCAGCCTGCGAAATTTCAATTAAGCAGCGCTTTTAATGTTTTGGCACTAACTCTGCTGTTTCCTTTCTTTTTTATTTCCCTTTGTTTTCTCATTTGTCGTGCTTATTTATATGTACTTTATTCTTGTTTTCCTCCTTTATCAGGATCTCCAGTCTCAGAGCGCTGCCCCGGATGAATCATTATCAAACAGCCCAACGACACTTCAGAGGGACTCTATGCGAGTGATGCAATCGGGATACAACTAAGCGACCTCTTTGTTACCCAGGCTGAGCTGACGGAGGGAGTCTTAGGAGGCCAGACTTCATGCCCGATACTTTATGCCAATAGTCTAACGTCTGGCTATGCAAGACTATAAAGTGGATGACTCAGAAATCACTGCACGTGTGTGTTTGTGTGTGTGACACACCCAAGCCTTTCCATGGTATTGCTTAAGCCGTTATTGTAGTGTACTGAAAGAGTAACGGATGGTTCTCATCCTGGGTGTCAAGGTGAAAGTGTGTGTTTGTGAGCATCAGGTATCCCTGACACCCGGAGTGTGTTCTTTGTCATCTGAGCCACTGGTTTTGTATCCTTGTTTTCATTCTGTCTGACTAATAACACTCTTTTTGACCTGAGGCCCCAGATGAATGCAGTAAACTATAGGAAGAATAAAACAGCAGGATTCAGAGTCCCATTAGCCAACACGAAACTCATTTAGAAATACCAACTTTATGGTATTTTATCTACGATTGTAGGCTCTTTCTGTTGGCCCCGACACGGGCATGCAATATGAAAAAGTAGATGTGTGAACACAGAAATTGGGGTTGAGAAAGGACAATGAAGAGGCAGGGAAACAATGACAAAGCTACATTAAAGGCATGCTTGTATGCATTTGTACAAGTTCATTGGGCTTTTATCAAAGAGAGACTGAAAGAGATGTTTTCGTCTCATAAAAGCACATATAAACAGAAAGTTTTAGGAGAGTGCGTGTGTTTGTACCTCCTACCTTTTCTAACCCAGGCAGGCATGTGCCCTCGGTGTGTCACAGTGTAACAGGAACGATGCTTCCCTTTGACCAGCTCGTCCCACAGGATGACGTCTGCGGAATCGGAGTCCGTCCTCAGACAGTCTCTCTCAAACAGAGAGATCTGAGCCGAGGTAAAATACAAAGCGCTGACCTGGGATAACACACACACACACACACACAATGCAGAAAAATGAAGACTCCTGAAAATGTCTTCCTCTTTCTATTATTCTGTGTATTACCCATCCTCCGATGTCTCCTATGGTGAGGACGGCCTGGTCCGGGTTAGAGGGATCCACCCAATAGTCTAGACACCAGGGGGTAAACTTCAAACCCTAGAAAAGAAGTGATGTGTACAATATATATACATATATATATACACATATATATATACATATACATATACA